GTGATCTGCCTGCCTTGGCCTCCCAAAGTGCTGGGATTACAGGCTTGAGCCACCGCGCCCGGCCCATGACTTCCCTTCTAATCTATATATGTGGTGTCACACACATGGGGATGAGGGGCCTGGGGGCGAGTCCACACCATGCCGTGAGTTCTGCCTCCATGCTGGTATACCGTAAAACACCCCATGTGCCTCTAGAGGAGCCCTGTCCAACAGACCTATAATGTGAGCCATTTACATCATTAAAAAATTTCTGGTAGCCACATTTCAAAGTAGATAAACAGATAAACAGATGAAATTAAATTTAATGGTATACTTTATGTAAGCATATACACCCCAAATATCTCCATTGTATCATATAATTAATATACAGAAGTATTAACGAGATAGCTACATTTTCTTTTCTGTACCACACCTTTGAAATCCAGTGTGTACTTTACACTGTCAGTGCATCTCAATTCTGACTGGCCTCATTTCAAGTGCTCAATAGCCACAAACGACATTGCAACTCTAGAGTATAACCAGCTATAGTGGTTAACAGCGGAAGCTCTGAAGCCAGACTGCCTGGGCTGCAATCTTGGTTCTAGCATTGACCGTGTAGCCGGACAAGTTGTTGAAAGTTCGCTGTAGGGCCGGGTGCGGTGGCTTACGCTTGTAATCCCAGCCCTTTGGGAGCCTGAGGCGAGCAGGTCATGAGATCAGGAGTTTGAGACCAGTGTGGCCAACACGGTGAAACCCCATTGCTACTAAAAATATAAAAATTAGCTGGACATGGTGACAGGTGCCTGTAATCCCAGCTACTTGGGAACCTGAGACGGGAGAATCACATGAACCCAGGAGGCGGAGGCTGGAGTGAGCCAAGATTGTGCCACTGTACTCCAGCCTGGGAGACACAGCTAGACTTCGTCTCAAAAAAAAAATATAAGAAAAAAAGTTAGCTGCAACATGTGTGTGGGTAGGGATCAAAGTAGTTATCTGCCTCTTAGAGTTATAGAAAAAACTAAATTATTTAAGACATGTAAAAATATTTAGAACTGTACCTGGTATAGAGTAAGCCCTCATTACTCTAGAGCGGTTGGTATCATTTTAATATTAGTGAATATTAATTAGACATTGTATATAACCTTTTATTTTAACAAAACAAGTTCTCAAGGACTAACAATGTTCTAAAAATTGCTACCATGCACCTTTTCATGAAATTCCACTCCACACAAGGAACAAAGTTATCCTGTTGTATATAACCAACAGACAAGAACATCCCAAATCAGAATGTACTGTTAGTAACATCCGTTTCCAACCCCCTGCCCACCCACCAACCCAATCAGCTAACTGTGTTTCCTATCTCCCAGGGAGCCAGGGTTTTGTTATGTTGTGTGAGTCTTGTATCGTTTCTTATGAGACAGCTCAGGTTAGTTATCAGTCATTACCCTGTAATCATGATGCTGCAGTTTAAAACTGCAAAGTTTATAATGCTTTCATACAGGACTTATTCAAGTCTTACAGCAACCCTCCTTAGACATAAGGAGACTGAGATTTGGAGAGAGAGTGGCTTGTCGGAGTCAGACCACCTGTCAGTGTCTGAGGCAGGGATGGAACATGGGGAGTCTGATTTCCACGACGCCATGCCCTGAGGCTGCAATGAACTGCTCCTTAGTGTGTCCTGCCAAATCTGCCAATTGGCTTCTATTTGAGGCATCAGGTCTAATGATCTAAAAGCCAGTACTAATGATTGTGTCTGTCTTCATTTCCTCTTTTCTGTTTATCTTCTCCCTTGTGTTCCTGATCAATTTCACCAGAGGATGACCTTATTCACATTTATAGTCTTCCTTATTTTTTAATGAACTGTAAATGTTCCTCTAGGTACATGGCATCCCTGTCCCACAATCTCAGACAAGCGGTATTTTTGTTGTCAATCAGTTCTATTTTTCTCATTTATTTATTAAAGAAAAAAAATCTTAGGGCCGGGCGCGGTGGCTCAAGCCTGTAATCCCAGCACTTTGGGAGGCCGAGGCGGGTGGATCACAAGGTCAAGAGATCGAGACCATCCTGGCCAACATGGTGAAACCCCGTCTCTACT